TTAGTAATAAATAATTTTTGATGTTTAAAAAAAGAATATTTCACCCACACTCCCTTGCAGGTGAGGTGAGGTGAGGTGAGGTGAGGTGAGGTGAGGTGAGGTGAGGTGAGGTGAGATAACAGAATATGGAAGGCCTTATAGAAACTAGGGGAGTTCTCAAGCAAATGCCATTCCAGACAAGCCTATTCCCTTTAGTAAACTAGAGATAAAAAGCAAAATCAAAGCCTCCATAGCAGGAAGATGGCAAGCCCAATGGGACGCAAGTAAGATCCGGCAGATGGCCAGACAAAATTCAACCCAAGTTCCAACAAAAGACTACTTCATACTCAAATGAAAGGAAAGTTGAAATTGTTATCTCACGCCTCAGACTCGGTCACAAAAAGCACTATGACAAGGTTTGTTCATCTTGCAATCAGGCTGAAACCATTGATCACGTGTTACTAGAATGTCAAGACCATGCCCCAGCCCGGGCTAGGTTAAAACAAGAATTGCAGTTAGATCCGCTATCTGTCATAAATCTCCTAAAGCCAACAGATGCAATAGCGAAGTCCAAACTTACTCTATTTCTGAGAGATGGACAGCTACTCGAACGTATATAAACAGAGCAGCCAAGGATAAAAATGAAATCATATCAAGATAAGAAAATAGAAATCATATCAATACAAAAACAGAAATTATGTGTGTACCAAACTCACAATAGATATGTGTACCCTTCTCACACACAGGAGTCCCAAAGAGGGACAGGTCAGCCGAAATTGTTTAGGCAGAAGGCGACGTCTTAAACACTTAATGCAACAACAACAACAACAACAACATCCAGACTAGCCATGTACATGCATTCCAATTGTTCAAAATCAAGCTATGCTAAGCTGAATCAATACTAGATCAATTATCCGTTTGCACTGCAGTGTTCGCAGCTGTTACACACATATGTGATCTACAACAGTGGGTTATCAAATGCACCATAGCCTTGCTCCAAGGCTTATTGAAAGAAAAGTCCATGGATGTGTAGTAATTCTACCCTCCAAATAGGCAAGTCTAGATATGTGGACAGTACAAAGGACTCCAGTCTCTTATAGGAACAACTAGTTCTTATTATTTACATAATCTAGAAATTATGATTTAAACTAATAATTATTGCCTTAGAAACTTGTGCAAGTCTACAACCAACTGACAACAGGAGTTCATGTTACTGACTCGCATATCGCCATACTTTGCCAGTCATGCAGCCACTACTTTCCACAATTATTGTATACAAACCCTTTTAAGTATTCACGATGGGTTTCCCAATATATTTTGCAAACTTATTTTGATCCTATTATTTTCTGAAAAAAAAAAAAAAAATTTACTTTATTTGATTTTTTTGGCAAAAATTCCCATCCTCATTCATTACCATGTTAAAAGGAGACTTGGCTCAGCTTAACGGCAGCCCTATCTCTTTTGTGACAATGTTTGTTTGTTTATTTAACGCGTACTCAGCAATATGATGGCGGTGTGTAAATAACAGAGTCTATAATAACAAGTCAGCAGGCCTGACCACCCGATTCTGTATGTCCCTTCTTATGGGTTGCTGAAGACTAATTGTGAGTGAGTGAGTGAGTGAGTGAGTGAGTGGGTGGGTGAGTGGGTGAGTGGGTGAGTGGGTGAGTGAGTGAGTAGGTGAGTGAGTGAGTGAGTGAGTGAGTGAGTGGGTGGGTGGGTGGGTGGGTGGGTTGGTTGGTGGGTGAGTGAGTGAGTGAGTGAGTGGGTGGGTGGGTGGGTGAGTGAGTGTGTGTGAGTGAGTGAGTGAAAAAGCTGAGACAATAAGCGAAGATCACATTCATACTCATACCGGAAGTAATATCATCATCTTGAACACTAAAACAAAATAAAAAACAATTTTTTTAAAAACTAGAAAACCTTCATCATTTGGGCGTTCCGCAGACTCTTTCCAGTCATGCTGTGAAATGAACTAAAACATGTTCAAGACAAGTCTCATTTTGAAACGGGCATCAGGAACCACTGATGAATCCCAAGTCTGTTTTCAATCTCCTTTCAACATGACTCGACCAAGATTAGTCATGGCTCAAGTAGTATCTATATGACTGTAACATCAACATTTCAAGATTCAGAGATGCCCTCCCATTTGACTTGGGAGGTGATACCAACATTGAGCAGTGCTCTCACATTAACAGGATAAAGTACTCCCCAGTGGGGTGATAAGCCAGTCTGACCTCCATGCTATTTACCACACCACTATGAATGGTTCATGTCAAGTCAGCCCAGCTTCTGTAAGTTGAGTTTTTAGATGTCAAGATAACAAAACTTCTCTTTCATTCTCTTTGAGCTGTAGACTATGATCCACTTGCAGCCTGTCCCAGATTATCCTGGGTATTTCAGTGGTATTCTAAATCATTTCAATAAAATGGAATTTTCATCTGTATTTCCTCAGAAACGGAAAAGCTTCCTGAAATCCAAATGCAAGCAAAATATTCCTACTTTCCCCAAAATTAATTTCAATGTTCAGGTGTACACCTACACGCCCTGAGAAGCAAACGTTTCATTAATTAATTCCAACTCAATAACAAAAATAAAATGTGTTGCTTGTGTTTTCTTTCTCTTTGATGGAATATCTTTCCTAATGTGGCGAGTGTCACCAATCGCCAGCTTACTATCAAGATGACTGTATCCCCAGCTTACAGTTGAGACATGTATAATATAGTCATCTTACTATCAAGATATATATCGAATTGACATCTTACTATCGAGGTGTGTGCTGAGGTGAAATGGTGTTTAACATCGCATTCAAAGTTATAACTCTTATATCGCAAATTGCATGCACCTTGCATGCGTGTGGCTGGTTCTATTAATCCAGACTAATTCAATATAGTTTTTGCTCACTGAGATACCATGCTGTATTTTAACATATATACCCCATTCTGGGCCAAGTAGTGTGCCGACCTTGGAAAAAAAATCAACCAAAAAATAAAAATAACAACAATTGTTATACCTCCATGTCAATGAAAGGGAGGGAAATAAATTTCTGAGTGGAAGTATAAATCCAACCCGCTTCAAAGCAAAAGGCTGCATGCTTTTTCCAAGACAATGAAAGTCACGTGACATAGCACAAATTAACCTCAGCTCAATCAAACAAATTTTTTCTATCAAATTTGAATTTGTTATAATTCTTTTCCAATGGCAGATTAAAACATGTCGGAAAGATAAATTGTAGCAGTATCACTTGGGGTACATGTGGGAGTGAGTGAGTGAGAATGGTTTTACGCCACTTTTAGCAATATTCCAGCAATATCACGGCGGGGGACACCAGAAATGGGCTTCACGCATTGTACCCATGTGGGGAATCGAACCCGGGTCTTCCGCGTGACGAGCAAACGCTTTAACCACTAGGCTACCCCACAGCCCCTGGGTACATGTGGTCTTATGCGTCCCGTGTTGAGCTGGAGTATCAGACTTTTTAAACTTATTTTTTTAACTCTTTTTTAAAAATCCACATTGTTCTAAAAAATAATCTCCCTACTGAGCGGAACAACTTTCATCCAAATAAGAATGATGAAATGGAAACCTCCCTTTATTATCAGACAAAGAATGATGTCAGCAGAATAAACCAGACAACACTATGGCATTAAATGTAACTTAAAAGAGAAATATTAACACGAAAAGTAAGTTTTCAAAAATCATTCAACAAGCTATAGCTATGTCATGTATCGGTCCATCGCCAGTCTTAATCTTGATGTGGTTTAAGTGAGTGAGTTGGGTTTTACAACACCTTCAGCAATAAACCAGCACTATCATAAAAGGGGACACAAGAAATGAGTTTCCCACATTGTGCCCCTGTGGGGCATCAAACCCAGGCCTTCAGCATGACGAGTGAACGCTCTACCCACTAGGCTTGCCCACCACCCCTGGTGCTGTAAATTTGTAATTAGTGCCTTGCTGTAATTAGCATGATTAGTGCCATCCGAGACCATAACACAGAATGGTCTCTGGTGCCATGCATTGTCTCCGTGTATTAAGGGCAATCAGTTGGTGACAGATTAATCTAAATACATGTAGTATTGTAAGTATTAACTTTGACTAACGTCTACATATTTAACTGAAAAAGTGAGTTGTTAAATTATTTAAAAAAAGTAAAATAAAAAGGAGCCCTGAGACTCTCTTCATTTTCAGAAACTGCAATAATCAAGACTTGCCCAGCATCATGGATTTCAGGCATTTAGAAGTTGGAAGAACACACTTTTTACGGATAGCAACTTCTTATATTCTTTGTCACGATGTCTCAGAGCAAGAAGTAGCTCTGAAACATTGTGATAATTTAAGAATAAAAGTAGTTTCTACCAAAAGTGTCATGTATTCACATCATAGACTTGCATGGGCTGTATTGGACATATTTGCTCCAGGATCGGTATCACCGATCAGCATTCACTATCACCTGATCAAGAACACGTTCAAACTTTCTAAGATTGCAAATTTAGTCAAGCCTTGCTCCAAAACCCCCAAACTGAAAAGCATTTTTTATTGTATCAATAAAATGTTTTGGACAGAATAATATTAATCTTTGATGATTGACGAAAGAACTATTCATCCTTATGATAAAAACAACTCAAAGGTAAACTTAATAATCTGTACCAAATAATTAACAATATCGGGCTGTCAGCTTTTAACATGGGACGCGCTTTCTCATAACAAACACTATCAACGGCGCTCACCCGTGTTTAAAACCCCAAGGGGCATAACAAACGTATCAGGTAACAGTAATTTGAAAAGTCAAACGCTGATGTATAAGACAGGTAATCAAAATCAACTGGTAGTCATCTCCATTTTGAGGTCAAATGGAACAAGCCGAATATATTACATAGTCTACACGTCAAGTTATTATATACAAGAACTGCACATGTATCTGAATATGTATACAACATGGAGCTGGCAACAGAAAGCAGACACATTGCTTGCATTACTTAATGACAAGGCACGTGATCGATGATACGTAAAACACTAAATACCTTACAGGTGAGAACACACGTCAGAGACAAACTGTCATTTACACACCTCTCTGCTGTCACCATGTATATTCAAGTAACGACTGAGCTATTACATTCAAGAATAGTTCAACAAATCGATACTGACATTCTCTTCGTGTGACGGAATGTAAACAACCAGATCCTCAGCATCACGGAAGTTTGTTTTCGCCATGACTTCTCGACAGCTTCCGGTTCATGACAGTAGCTGCACACTGATTGGCTGCAAGTTTTCATTAACGGGCACCTGCTGAGACATTTCTCGCAAATTTCCTCACTTAAAAACAAATTGAAATAAAACATTTACGGAAGAAAGATTTGAGATATTTAGTTTTTGTCATAATATATCATTGTATAGAACATTATGTTACCTAATTTATTCATATGATGAACGTAAATCGTATATACTTATTGCATATTTCAAAATATGTAGTTTCTACATCATTACTTTTTGTATGTTGCAAAATTAATCAAACTAACTTTATGATTAATCTTATCTCGATTCCACAGTAAAAATCATCTTGTGACTGGCTGGAGTGGTGTAAGTTCAGGTAAATGTATATGTTCTGCACTGGTGACCTCCCACTTGACATGCATAATGTGCTCGTCGTCTTGTATATTTTGACAGTTGTTTTAAATGTAAATGTCCTTTATGAGAAGACCAATGACTTTCATCTAAAAATGCTCAACCGACGTCATAAAAAAACACATAACTGTCTTATAAATGTGACATACACATACACATACACGGTATATGTAGCCTTGCACAAGTCTCTAAGTTTAAATAATAATTTCTAGATTATGTAATTAATAAAAAAACAAGTTGTCCTATAAGAGACTGGAGTCCTTAGACTGTCCACATATCTAGACTTGCCTATTGGGCGGATAGATTTACTACACATTCATGGACTTATCTTTCAGTATAGTCGTGGAGCAAGGCTACGGTATGTGGTCTCTACGGATAGATGCTTATGATGTCAATCACTGGATTGTCTGGTTCAGACTCGATTATTATTAGACCGCCGTCGTAAATCTGGAATATTGGTGAGTGTGGCATAAAACAATAAACAAACAAAACACTGTTTGAACAATCTACATGAGTCAACGGTCTTATTTCAGAGAAATTATTAGTGATTTAAACATATACTATTGTTGACTGCAGTTGATAACAAGAAACTCGGGGATAGTGTTATAGTATCACTGGTACAGTACAAAAACATATCATACAAACAAAAACATGAACATGTATTGCTAAATTAATAATGTTTCAATTATACCAAACACTGTAATGCCATTTCGCCATTTTGGGGACAGCATGGAAATAAAGTGTGTGTCTTGATTATTGAACTGAATTTATAGGATCCTGAAAGTTCAATCTCATTAAAATCATATCTCTTCGTTCTCGCTACCACTTAACAAAGATCTGAGGACATCCCATTACGGCAAACGTCAGAACGGCCAGTGTGTTTTCAGATCATGCAACCTCGAAATGTTTAACAGAGGGTTTTATGATTATATCCATACAATCTGGGCAATCTATAAGCCATTCCAGAATGTTCTTTTGATCAATTTTAAATGTTTTAATCAAGACGTCGAAATATGTTTCGAAGCGTAATCGCCAGTTTGAAACTAGTGTCGTAAAGCTCAAAGTTCGCGAAAGGTCGTTCTGACGTGATCCGTAATGGGATGTCCTCAGATCTTTGCTTAGCGATAGCGAAAACTAAGATCTGATTTTAATGAGATTACTGAAAATTGCGATAATTTTTTTTATGACATCTATAAGTTCACATGGCGTCTATAAATATACATTTGAATATATACATGCTGAGATTATCTTTACATATCCGCAAATTCTGCAAAGGCATTTAAGAAACAAAAAATTTCAGCTTGAAATTAAGCTTTCAAATTCACATGTATCTAGTCTCAATTTCAACAAAAAATGTTTTCATATTATCAAAATAGTTTCCACAAACCAATATTATGACGCCATTAAAAAAAGTATCCCCAAAAGGCTATTATTGGACCTCATGATTTCTTCGATGAAGTTCTTTGACAAACCTGAATTTTCTCTAGCCCAGAATGATTGTTTTATAAGCCGTTGTTTAAAAAAGCCGAAATAGTGCAGACCGTTGAGTAAAACAACATCCTCTCACTCACCCATCGTAAAATCACATCGTTCCTGACTCACCCTCAGAGAACACGAACCTGGGAGCGGAATATCGAGGGATTTTACGCCCGCTTCTATCAGAAACATTTCAGTGCGCAATGTAGGTTTAATTCTAAAACATTCACCAATATCTTATATGAGTTCTGAGGCTTTACAACAATTAGTCATTGTTCGCGTTATATTATACGCTTCTTTCTATATGTGTTTGCGCACATGTTGTAACCGACCGACATTACTCGAAGTCTGCCCCAAAGCCTCAGGGTCTGCCTGCCAATCGGTGACATAATCTCGTATCTCACCAACACTAATTTCGAGATGGCATAAAGTCGATGGAAGTTAGATAGTATTTTTAAGGTAATTGAACAATACTCTGTTGGAAGTCCCTCTCATTCCTAAATTGTAACAATCAGTCACACTGTAAAACATCACTGTAATGTGTGAGTGTTGAGTGAGAGAGTAAGGTTTTACGCCGCTTTTAGCAATATTCCAATAATATCACGGCGGAGGACACCAGAAATGGGCTTCACACATTGTACCCATGTCGGGAATCGAACCCGGGTCTTCAGTCACTAGACTACCCGACCCCCCTGTTTAACATTAGTGTTGATCTTGAGGTAGACGAAACAAAGCATCTGTATTGACGTCTCGTTGCGAACATGGTATAAGTAACTATTAGCATTAGTGCACATACATGTAAGTATAAATCATCATATCTAATAACGGAGTGAATATGGTTTTACGCCGGTTCTGTTTGCAATATTCGAGCAATATCGAGACGGGAAAGTCTACAAAAGGGCTTTATTCATTGTACCCTTGTGGGGAATGAGACCCGGGCGTGCAGCGTGGTGTGCGAACGCTTTAACCACTAGGCTACCCCACAGCCTTCTAATAATAGAAAACTTTTATCGCCGGAGACAAGGAGAGATATACAAAATGTTTACAATATCCCCGGGTCAAATGTAGAACAATGTAGATTTTAAACGTGGTATATATACTTTAATATATCCGCGGATGCCGAGGGGATGAGCAGGATTCAGTTTTGGGTCATTTTAATCTTGCGACCTCTGAGTCCTACCTCGCTCATCATACCATATCATGTTACGCTGGTGTACGTGTTTGAACTGAAAACTTGGCCAAGGCTAAACAAACCTATCTCGTGCGGTGTCACATGAAAAAACACCCCCACTATAAAAAGATCTCACGTACCGGCCGTCACATATGAGGGGTGAATGTGTGTCGGGGGCGCGTGCGCGCCGCTTTTTGAAGCATATTGACCATGTTGGTGCGTGAAACATATTACTTAATCACGTGGGGACATTTAATTACGTAAACATATTTATCTACAAAATATTAGATAAACTCCAAATGGAGCCGCTTAATTTCAGAATTACTAAATCATTCTAGACTTCAGTACATTCATTTTTAATATGTTCTCTAGGGTCTGTGAGACAGGCTATAACAATTGACTAATTGTTGGATAACAAAGGCAAATTGTTTCGTGAACTATGACCGTTATTGTTTTATATAGTTGTGTAATGCCTGCGAATGTCTAAAGCTCATTGGGCGACGACCTTTTAATCTTGCAGCTTCCAACTGATTGCTCACAGTCGACCCACTTAGGGTTATGACCCTATGCTCAGTGTTTGTGCTTGATACTTATCGGAATGCTATGTGAGTGAGTGAGTATGGTTTTACGCCGCTTTTAGCAATATTCCAGCAATATCACGGCGGGGGACACCAGAAATGGGCTTCACACATTGTACCCATGTCGGGAATCGAACCCGGGTCTTCGGCGTGACGAGCGAACGTTTTAACCACTAGGCTACCCGACCGCCCCGGAATGCTATGTGTTTTAATTGGCAAATTGTTTCCTGAACAAAGAACGTTATTCATTTTTTAAAGTTTTACGTTTACTGTTTTCCAAAAAGCTGGGTTCTGTATCGTCAATGATAAGCGACTCACAAACAAGAGAACTATTCGCATTCCAAAAATAACGCCAGAAATTAGGTAATAAGGTTTATTAATACTGGAATCCGAAGATCTGAATGAAACGGTGATTTTTACTGTTTCCATGATGTGACTTGTATATGCTGCGTAACATTAATGATGTGACTTGTATATGCTGCGTAACATCAATGATGTGACTTGTATATGCTGCATAACATCAATGATGTGACTTGTATATGCTGCGTAACATCAATGATGTGACTTGTATATGCTGCGTAACATCAATGATGTGACTTGTGTCAATGACAGTGACGTCATATGTTACCGATGTCATGGTCTGGTGTTTTATGGAAAAAATATATTGTCCCCGAATTCTTTTAAAATAGATAATTGGCACTGCCACAAAAATGACACTATTGCAAAGTATTTTCTTGAAGGTGAGGTGATGTGAGGTGAAATTGGGTTTAACGTCGCGTCCAAGATTATTGCACTTACATAGCGACGTGCATGCACGTGTGTGTGTGTGTGTGGCTGCTTGTACTAGTCCGGACTGATGCCGATTTATAGTGCTAGCTCACTGAGATACCATGCCGCAGTTTAACATGAATACCCCACTCAGACACAGTATACTGACTCCGAGCCGACCAGTCCTTGTTTTAGCCCCTTAATGCCGAGCGCCTGACAGGGTAACAACAAGTATCATCTTTTAACGTCTTTTGGTATGACACGGCCAGGGATCGAACCCCGAACCTTCCGCTCTCCGGGCGGACGCTCTACTACTAGACCACGGAGGCGGTCTATTTTCTTGAAACAAAACTCAGGCTTATAGTTTTAGATAAATAAATATCTTGTTTTGAAGCTGTAGTTGAAAATATATCAAATGTCGATACAAAATCCCAGCTCCCGCTCCGGAACAACGTGGATCGATGCTCGTGATGTCAATCACTGGATTGTCTGATCCAGACTCGATAATGGTCTCTTGCGATGCCCGCCTCATGTTAGCTTACCAAGTTGCCGTGCTTATATGCTTCCAGTGCCTGTCATATGTTCGACTGAAGAATTACGGTGTAAACAAACTGCCTGAGCATATACAGCTCAATAGTTTGTTTACAGGCTGTTGTCGGTGATTCCGAAATTCAGCTCGACAACCCACTCAAAACACTGGACTCAAACAATGCCGCCTCACTCAATATAGTTGCTAACACCAAAGAGTTAGCGTTGTATGTAGTCAGGGAAGAATGGAGCTAACAGCAAGAGCTGTTTAATTACGATCGGAAAGTTGTGATTCATGACATGCCTAGATTGTCGTTGCTCACGCTGTCAACCACAGGTGATAAGGGTGTGTGGGGTGGGGGAGTGTTGGGGGTGGGGGCTACTGAATGCATGCTTACATGCACTTTATTATGTGACCATCTCCAAAATAGCACGCAGTCTCAATCTTCTCGCAGATATTGACATTAAAACACAACGCTAAACATGTAAACGAAATTTCACAGGAAGCATTTTCAGTCTTCACCGTGCTAAACACGCTCACTATACAAACCGTACCTGTCGGCGTGATGGCACGGCGCATTTTATCGACCAGCCTTAGACTGATTGAAGCGCAAAGTCTGCTTAGAATCTCCGCGAACAGTCAAGCGTTTATGAGATCAGCTGCAGCAATGGCGACGCTAGCTCCTCCTCCGGAGTCCTTGCTCCGACCCATGAATTTCCCCTTCAAGACCTTGATGGGTCCCGGCCCTTCTAACTGCCCCCCTCGAATACTGGCAGCGAATGCCTTACCAATGTTGGGCCACCTGCATCCGGAATTCACAGAGGTAATTCACCCGTCACGTGTTGTCAACTTCAGCCATATGTTCTCAATCGTGCACTGTTCGCGGTTGTGTTACGGGGATTTGTGAATGGGGGTGACGAAAAAACGTGTTCTTTGCGTGTCGAGCGCCTGAAGCGCGTGGGTGCTATCAGACACAAGCGTGAAAGAACTAATTCTCAGACGTGCTGATAAAAAACACTTGTGCAATTTGATCGTTGTAGCCAGTGCATTTGTAATGGACACGCTGAGATGTAATGAATGTTATATTTCGGACACCGCTTTCTTAGTAAAATACACATTCTACCACTGTGTACTCACATGCTAAGAATTAGTGCATGAGCTTAAATTTTGCATTGCAGGAAGTAGGTCAGAAAACTGTTAATTCATTACAGATAATCGACAGTGGAAACAATAAAGTGACGTCATAGCTATATTTTAAGCCGTTTTATAATGTAACTAATTGATGATAAAGTCATCTGAACATACATCTGACTAACAAGGTGTACTTGATTTAATAGTTTGGGTTTTATTTTCTAGGGCAGAGGTGAGGTGAAACTGGGTTTAATGTCACGTCTAAGATTATTCCACTTATATAGTGACGTGCATGCACGTGTGTGTGTGTGTGGCTGCTTGTACTAGTCCGGACTGATGATGATTTATAGTGCAAGCTCACTGAGATACCATGCCACAGTTTAACATGAATACTCCACTCAGACACAGTATACTGACTCCAAGCCAACCAGTCCTTGTTTTAGCCCCTAAATGTCGAACGCCAGACAGGGTAACAACAAGTACCATCTTTAAACGTCTTTTGGTATGACCAACCAGGGATCGAACCGCGCATCTTTCACTCTCCGGCTGGACACTTTACCTCTAGACCACGGAGGGGGTTCTTGGGCAGAGATGTGGTCTTGCAAAGAACAAGAGAACTTAAATGTATTTATTTGTAATTAATTTGCTATTTATTATAAACCTTTACCACCACCAGCTTGGCTGTGTTGTACTATAACTATCAAGAACAAAACAACAATGCACACACATCATGGAAACTATGGCCTGTCTTGATTATTGACATTTATCAAGTTCTTGTTGACTCAAATTCCATAAACATAATTAATTGTGGTTTATTTCACGATAAAACATTGTTCTATCATGACGTCATTTCTGGAGAATCGAACATGCGCTCGCAACTTGATAACGTCTTATATTGGACAACGTTATTTTTGAGAGGGGAGTGCCTTGTGAATTGTTCCCCATAGATGTAGCTGGGCAACGCAGATAAATACAATGGCCGAATGATCCATTCAAAAGCGGGAGAGATATGACAATCGGTACTGGTAAAAAAAGATAAGGTAATTGTCGTGAGGATTGTGAGAATATGCGGGAAATACCCACCTGTGCATAAAATGGCCATGCCAGATCAGATTCTATTGAGGGAGTCATCTTTATTAATATAAGGGTAAATATTTTTGAAGCTTGTACATTTCATCCACAGCCTTAAAGAGGCTGTACATAATGTTAATATCTCATTTAAGAATTGATTGTGACTGTTGTTTTAGCAACCATCTGTTTCATCTATTATCTTTGTATTGATTTTCAAATGTGGATAATATTATGCATAAATTCAGAAAAAGTCAGAATACAAAACCATGCTATTAATGGCCATAATATTGAGGTTTCATAAGCAAGTACAGCACAGCTGCTATACTTAAACATAGACTAAGGCCTTCTTTAACATAGACTAGTGCTACGATCACTGTGTGAAATGGTCCCTGAGCTCTCTAATAGCACCCATGTAACAGCTGAAATCTCAACATTTAACGAGATAGTATGTGGAGATAGTATGTGACCGCCAAAACTGTGATATAAGTGATGTATCCAGCTGTCTCTATTTTGTCAGTATCACGTTGTGCAACATGTTGGAAAACTGACATCCTATCATGTAAATATTGTATACACAGTGTACTACTTTGTTCAACAATGTCCATGAGACATGTTGAATCTATGTATTATATACCATATACACCTATGACTTGTTCGAGATCACTACATAGCACCTTTCATATTAGACCAGTTAAAAACATATTCTTTCTTATGGCTTATTTTCCAAAACTGACAGTGAAGTATTTTTTGTGTTTATTTCTTCTGCAGAAGCTTACAAATCTGTAAAGTAAAAGACATAATTTTTTTTAGCCATGGTCCCTGCTAGTGCTAGATTTTGTATTACCATGGTTTTGTTTGTTGTTTTACGCCGCAGTCAGCAATATTCCAGTTCTATGATGGCGGACTGTAAATAATCCAGTCTGGACCAGACGATCCAGTGATTGACATCATGAGCATCGATCCATGAAATAGGGATACCACTCACTCACTCACTCACTCACTCACTCACTCACTCACTCCTGCCATGAGACGTCAGTTGTCTGTAAACAATCGAGTCTGATCCAACGAGTATCTGAACTGACCTGTCAATCAATGTTCTACTCAGGTTCTATCAATACGTGTCCCCTCAAGATTTAATCTACTTCCGCAGATCATGGATGAAGTGAAGGCAGGGATCCAGTACGCCTTTCAGACTAAGAACAGCTGGACATTTGCAATTTCAGGAACAGGTAAGGGGAAATAACTCTTGACAAACTACGTGACAACATGAAACTTCATGGACAACAATTTCTTCCTTGTTTGTAACAACTTTCCAGGACTACATCTTGCCCTCCATCAGCTGAACACTGAGTAAGTGGGTATTAAAACAGAGTTCCAAATTCCACAGGGTTCTTAGTTGAGTGCCAGTGGAATGGTTAAAATCATAATGGCATGTTCCTGGTGCCTAACACTAACAGTATTCCTTGTGACGACGTTTATTAATATATAAAATTCAAACAAACTTGATGAAATATAACCGAGGGTTATGAACATGTTTAACACGCCCTATGCATCATATGAGTAATAAAATAATTGTGGGTATCCTGGTATTCAGAAATTGAAAAGGGCATTATGAATCTCAATGAAAAGGAAATGTTCAAAATGCAAGAGATTAAAATTTTAAAAGAAAAAAAGTGAATGTGTATTAATATTTGAGGGGGAAACTGTTACGTTTTATAGAAGAACTTACCACAGCATTTTTGTAATTTTAGCCACACAATTGTGGCAATTTTACCCTAGAATTTTGAAAAATTTACTGCAGAACTTGTCTTGGACTGGCAAACCATATCACTGCCTGATAGGCAAGTCGATGGCACATGTTGCACCCTATGTTAAGTGAGAGACATGGCTGTTTGTGTAATGTTCACGTATTACATACATCAGTTATTCACTAGTACAAAGTAGTAGGTTATACTCAGCAGGAAAAGTAGGGGATACATGTTATATCCACCATGTGAGACTGCATGTGAAGCCTGTTCCTGCTGTCCCTCGCTGTGCTGTGATTTGAAAGGACAAGACATGATCTGTTTTGTGTGTTGTCAGGCCATGCTGCAATGGAGGCCATGGTCGTCAACTTGCTGGAACAAGGTGAAACTGCACTTGTCTGCGAGAACGGGATATGGGGGCTGAGGTTTGCTGAAATGGTTGATAGAAACGGTAAGGAGCCATGTTGTCTATCCCAGTCGTCAGTATGCCATATGTATCACCATGGCCCATAAAAAATAAAATCTTGACCAGGCTGTGACTGAAATATGATGACATGTAATCACCGAGCCCGACCACCCAATCCCCAGTTAGTTCTGACATTACACGTGTGTGATGACATGTAATCACTGAGCCCGACCACCCAATCCCCAGTTAGTTCTTACATTACAGGTGTGTGATGACATGTAATCACTGAGCCCGACCACCCAATCCCCAGTTAGTTCTTACATTACACGTGTGGGATGACATGTAATCACCGAGCCCGACCACCCAACCCCCAGTTAGTTCTTACATTACACGTGTGTGATGACATGTAATCACCAAGCCCGAGCACCCTATCCCCAGTTAGTTCTTACATTACACGTGTGTGATGACATGTAATCACCAAGCCCGACCACCCAATCCCCAGTTAGTTCTTACATTACACGTGTGTGATGACATGTAATCACCAAGCCCGACCACCCAATCCCCAGTTAGTTCTTACATTACACGTGTGTGATGACATGTAATCACCGAGCCGACCACCCAATCCCCAGTTCTTACATTACACGTGTGTGATGACATGTAATCACCGAGCCCGACCACCCAATCCCCAGTTAGTTCTTACATTACACGTGTGTGATGACATGTAATCACCGAGCCCGACCACCCAATCGCCAGTTAGTTCTTACATTACACGTGTGTGATGACATGTAATCACTGAGCCCACCCACCCAATCCCCAGTTAGTTCTTACATTACACGTGTGTGATGACATGTAATCACCGAGCCCGACCACCCAATCCCCAGTTTGTTCTTACATTACACGTGTGTGATGACATGTAATCACCGAGCCCGACCACCCAATCCCCTGTTAGTTCTTACATTACACCTGTGATGACATGTAATCACTGAGCCCGACCACCCAATCCCCAGTTAGTTCTTACATTACACGTGTGTGATGACATGTAATCACCGAGCCCGACCACCCAATCCCCAGTTAGTTCTTACATTACACGTGTGTGATGACATGTAATCACCGAGCCCGACCACCCAATCCCCAGTTAGTTCTTACATTACACGTGTGTGATGACATGTAATCACCGAGCCCGACCACCCAATCCCCAGTTAGTTCTTACATTACACGTGTGTGATGACATGTAATAACTGAGCCCGACCACCCAATCCCCAGTTAGTTGTTACATTACACGTGTGTAATGACATGTAATCACTGAGCCCAACCACCCAATCCCCAGTTAGTTGTTACATTACACGTGTGTGATGACATGTAATCACTGAGCCCGACCACCCAATCCCCAGTTAGTTCTTACATTACACGTGTGTGATGACATGTAATCACTGAGCCCGACCACCCAATCCCGAGTTAGTTCTTACATTACACGAGTGTGATGACGTGTAATCACTGAGCCCATGAAGATCTGGGTAGAGAATAGGTCTCCAGCATCCCATGCTTGTCAAACGAGGGGAATAACGAGATCGCGGGTGGTCAGACTCGCTGACTTGGTTGATGCTTGTCATTGTATCCCAATTGTGTAGATCAATGCTCATGATGTCAGTCACTGGATTGTCTGGTCAAAACTCGATTATTTACAGACTGCTGTCATATAGCTGGAATATTGCAGAGTGTTGCTTTAAGCAACAAACAAACAAACAAACTAACGAGATCGGGTGGTCAGGCTCACAGACTTGGTTGATGCATGTCATTGTATCCCAATTGTGAAGATCGATGCCAACGATATTAATCAATGGACTGACTGATTATTTACTGACTGCTGTCATATATCTGGAATAATGCAGGGTGCGGCTTTAAACAACAAACAAACAAATGTAATCACTGAGCCCGACTAGCCAATCACCAGTTAGTTCTTACAGTGCACGGAGCATGAGATGAGTTTAACATGCATGCCCCACATAGACACATTATACTGATTCTGAGCTGACCAGTCCTTGTATTATGCCGAGCTTATGCACACTCGATGACCCCAGCAACCTTGTTGCTAGGCTGACGTAAAATGGCATTGTTTCGCCAATATATCTTGCAACAAAATTCCACAAATTACGTCATTACGTGAATTGTGACATGATTGTAAACTTTGAGGTGCAAGGCCCGATTATGCTGTGAATCATGTATGTCAGCCTATTCACACTCAACAGTATAATTCTAAAAACATAAATGGCAAGTAATAAACAAAATACTAAATGAGCTCCCATGCAAAACCAACTTTATGAAACTTTCGCTCGTCAGATACCAGAACTATTCACTTGTTTCATAAAATTGGTATTACACGGGAGCTTATTAGTATTCTATATGTACAGTACGAGACAACGTGTTGTAAAAGCTGTTTGTTTAGTTTCTTGAATATACAAAATACTTAACAAGTTTCTTTGGTGAATGCTTTCATATGCCTGAGTGACATGTGTGACTCTTTTAGGGTCCGTAGCCAAGAAACTGCTTCGACCAATGGGAGAGGTGTTTACATTGGGTGAAATAGAGGAGGTAAGAATGTCAGTATGAGAGTGTGGTACATTTCTTCTGTACGACAAATGTTGCACTGAGCGTATCAATTTGTGATGTCAAGAACTGTCTACACCTACACAATAAAACCGTGTCGGCCACTATTACTACTATTACGGTACTACTCGTTTTGTGAATCAGGAACTGTTGATCTAGATTATTAGCTGGTAAGATATTACAATATTGCAATATATACAGATATTACCCACGTGGTGAAGATACAGGGGGTAAGATACTAAATCTGTACGTAACGTGTCGTACAAGGTTGACCTCATTTTATTCGTTTTGATTGGATAACCGTAACCTACTTTTTTCAATCATAAAAAAATCACAAGACATTGCGAGAGTCTTACAAGTGACAGACTGTTGGCCTGAAATTCCCCCTCCAGTTATTGCTAGACCTGGAGATATTGAAGATGCATGAGTGTCTGCCAGGTAATTTTCTATTTCAAGTCACAATCAGATGGATATTGATGGTGTTTCAACATATGTTGAGAAGTTTGGTCAATTATATTATATTTATTTCAATTTTTTCAGGGTCTGAAGGCTGAGAAACCGACCATTTTGTTTATAACTCACGGGGAGTCATCAGGGTCCACAGCCCAACCCCTGGAGGGCCTCGGGGAGCTGTGTCACAAGTGAGTTGTAGACGGCAAACCAGTCAGGAGGGACTGTATGTTGTTTTACGCCCCACTCTGCAACATGACAGTTATATGACAGCTGCCGGCAATTAATGGAATCTGGGCCAGACAATCCAATCATTGATATGAATGAGCTACGATCCAGGAGTAGTAAAGACGTTAGGGGTACTACGCCAATCCGCATAAAATTATATCATGATGTGGCAAGCAAAATGTAGCAACTGCCTAGTCTGACCACACCATCCATCGGGTTACCCCTCCCTGTGAACTTATTCTAACCCGGAATCTGCACAGTGACCCCTGGTCGGGTTCCATCAAAGTGATGCTGTATATCTATGACCTGTGTTGGTGAGGTGAGGTGGAATGGGGTTTAAGGTCGCGTCCAAGATCATTGCACTTATATAGCGACATGCATGTATGTGTGTGTGTTTGTGTGGCTGCTTGTACTAGTCCGGACTGATGCCGATTTATAGTGCTAGCCCACTGAGATACCATGCCGCAGTTTAACATGAATACCCCACTCAGACACAGTATACTGAATCCGAGCCGACCAGTCCTTGTTTTAGCCCCTTAATGCCGAGCGTCAGACAGGGTTACAACAAGTATCTTTTAACGTCTCTTTGGTATGACGCGGCCGGGGGTCAAACCCCGGACCTCCTGCTCGCCAGGCGGACGCTCTACCACTAGACCACGGAGGCGGTCGTGACCTGTGTTGAGGTGGTGGGGTAGCCTTGTGGTTAAAGTGCTTGCGCATCACATGATTGACCAGGGTTCAATTCCCCACATGGGTACAATGTGTGAAGCCCATTTCCAGTGCCCCCCCCCCCAGTCGTGATATTGCAGGAATATTGCTATTTGCGGCGTAAAACATGATTCACTCACTCACTCTATGACCTGTGTCACTTGCGGTTTTCCTCCCATACTTAACTGACCAGTAGTTATTTAACTGAAACTGAAATATTGTTGAAAGAGAAATCTGTATTACCTTTTGAATCAATAGTGCACGCAACACTTTGCATTGACACAAGAATTAATCTGAGCATTTTCAACTGAAGTCAGTCATGGGCAGATCCAGCATTTTAAAAGGGAGGGGTCCAAAATATCAAAATCTTCTCTCATCAATGTTACTGCCTACAACATACTACATTGGGTTTTTCAAAGGGGGGCCGGACCCCCTGGACCCCCCCCCCCCCCCCCCCCCCCGGACCCTCCTCTGGATCTGCCTATGAATGGGTTTGAGTGTGCGTGACTTTAATGTCGGTGATGTTGCAGATACAACTGTCTGTTGGTGGTGGATTCTGTTGCCGCCATGGGAGGCGTCCCTATCCTCATGGACCAGATGGGTAAGTGTGACGGGGGAGTGAATCTTGAAGTGTGCAGTGGTCAGAAATGTTGGTTTGAAGAGTGAGCGGGTGACTGTTGAGATATGCAGCAGTCATATCTTGGCAATATGTAATTGATCAGAACTTAACCAAACCAGTGATTGACAGCATGAGCATCAATCATTACCATCAGCACTTGTCGGCCATTGTGACCACCCAATCCACACCACAAGTATGACCCGTGAAGATCCGGGGTAGAACAGGTCTTCTGAATCCCATGCTTGCCATAAAAGGCGATTATGTTTTTCGTACGAGGCGACTAACTGGATCGGGTGGTTAGGCTCGCTGACTTGGTTGATGCATATCATCGATCCCAATTGCGTGGATCAATGCTCACGATGGCAATCACTGGATTGTCTGGTCCAGACTCGATTATTTACAGACTGCCGTCATATAGCTGGAATATTGCTGAGTGTGGCGTTAAACAACAAACCAACACAAGTTTGTGGTCTGTGGAACAAAAGATAATACCTTTCATTTTCCTTTTTGGCTCTGCTAGTGCTGATTATTTTGAAATATGTTTTTATCCCACCCATTACTTATTCTTGTTTACCTGTTTATTATGACCTTTATGTAATGTTTTGTCACAACTGTACGGGTGAGCAGATATTTTGTGGTTCACATTTTTTGTCATGGAATTTTAGTTTCTGTTATTCTGTATATTCACATTATTGGTTGAGTCAAGATCTGAAGGTGACGTGATTGTTTCCAGGAATTGATGCCTTGTATTCCGGCTCACAGAAGGTGCTGAGTGCTCCACCTGGAGCCGCGCCAGTATCGTTCTCTGACAAGGCCAGGTTAGTATAGAGCTGCCAGGACATTCACAGAAACAGTGGTAACCATGGTAACCTGAACACTTGCTGTGTGGAGCCAGGGAGAGAATAGATCCCAAGTAACTCACGCATGCACGCACGCACGCACGCATCTTAGACCTGCATCACTTGCGGACGCTTCATATTCTACTCAGAAGATGTTAGAGTACACCCAATTTTTTAATATGACTTCAGTTAATATGATAATATCATGAATTGTGTAACTTTTTTTGAGAGGTATATATCTAAAATACTGACTCACAAAACTGAGCTAGTTTCTGCGTGTAATTTGGGGTCTAAATTGCAAGTTGTATATCTATATCCTAAACTTGAGTAAACAGACACGCGAATGTCACTCTTGCCAGGATTGCCCAGGGGCCCGAGATGAGTCCCTAGGCTCCAACTAACTGAATCCCTCGACTTCACGCACATGGTTATGTTCTGTTCCAGAGAGAAAATACAGAACCGCAAGACAAAAGTGAGGTCGTACTATTTTGATGCTAACGAGCTCTCCAACTACTGGGGATGTGACGCAGGACCAAGAAGGTGAGTAGCCGTGGTTGGTTGGCCTGTAGTCGAGTTGGTTGGCAAGTACTAGGGTTGGTTAGCCAGTAGTTGGATTGGTTGGCCAGTAGCCGGGTTGGTTGGCCAGTAGTTGGGTTGGTCGACCAGTAGTCGGGTTGGTTGGCCAGTAGCCCGGTTGATTGGCAAGTAGCCGGGCTGGTTAGCCTGTAGTCGATATGGTTGTCCAGTAGCCGGGCTGGTTAGCCAGTAGTTGGATTGGTTGGCCAGTAGCCGGGTTGGTTGGCCAGTAGCCGGTTTGGTTGGCCTGTAGTCGAGTTGGTTGGCCAGTAGTTGGGTTGGTTGGCCAGTGGTTGGGTTGGTTGGCCAGTGGTTGGGTTGGTTGGCCAGTAGTTGGGTTGGTTGGCCAGTAGTTGGGTTGGTTGGCCAGTAGTTGTGTTGGTTAGCCAGTAGTTGGGTTGGTTGGCTTGTAGTTGGGTTGGTTGGGTTGGTTAGCTTGTAGTTGGGTTGGTTGGCCAGTAGTTGGGTTGGTTGGCCAGTAGTTGGGTTGGTTGGCCAGTAGTTGGGTTGGTTAGCCAGTAGTTGGGTTGGTTGGCCAGTAGTCAGGTTGGTTAGCCACTAGTTGGGTTGGTTGGCCAGTGGTTGGGTTGGTTGGCCAGTAGTTGGGTTGGTTGGCCAGTAGTTGGGTTGGTTGGCCAGTAGTTGGGTTGGTTGGCCAGTAGTTGGGTTGGTTGGCCAGTGGTTGGGTTGGTTGGCTTGTAGTTGGGTATACCAATAGGACAGGTGCAGTGCAAAGTTTCATTTCAATATTTGGATTTTCTGAAAAAATATAGCTTTTTTTTCATTTTTTTACTTATAATAATTTTTACTTTAACTTAAAAATTGCTTCATGGATTCTTTTCTAATTGGGGGTACAGTTTCTATACCAATAGGACAGGTTCAGAGAAAAGTTTGATTTCAATAAATGGATTTTCTGAGAAAATGTTGCTTTTTTCATGTTTTGAACTGAGAAATATGATGGGAGTTGAAGTTGGGGGTAGAAGTGCTCACTGTTTGCCTTGTTGTTGTCATTGTTGTTATTATAATATTTCAGATACCATCATACTGGCCCCATCAGCAGCTTCTATGCACTGAGGGAGGGCCTTGCACGACTGGCTGAAGAGGTAAGGATGGTCATGTTACTCAAAAAATAAAATATAATTAGAATTACAACTTCATGTTATTTGGTGTCTCTCCTCAGCCCCTGCGTATTTGTATATTGATTTGGAATATTTATACAAACTGTTGCCAATCCAAGTAGGGCGTTTATTTAAGAATATATTTAGGGTTTAAAAAACCTTATATCTCTCCAGGGGTTGTGGGGCACCCCATATGGGTACAATGTGTGAACCCCATTTTTGGTGTCCTGAGCAGTGGTATTGTTTTAATATTGCTAAAAGCAGTGTTAAACCATACTCTCACCCACTCTCACCCACTCTCACCCCATTCTTAGTTCCAATAGTAGTTACCTGTCAGCTGGTCTAGAGTTGGTAGAGTGTGTTGCCTTATTTGGGGTCAACATAAAAAGTTTAACAAGAACATGTTTCATCATACAGATTAGCAATAGACTATGTATGGCGACTAACTGGATAGATAGTCAGACTCGCTGACTTGGTTGATGCATGTCATTGTATCTCAATTACGTGGATCGATGCACACGATGTCAATCACTGGATTGCCTGGTCCAGACTCGATTATTTACAGACCGCTGTCATATGGCTGGAATATTTTGCTGAGTGCAGCGTTAAACAAACAAACAAACAAACAAAGCAATAGTGACGAGAGATTATTATTATGAACGTGCTCCCAGGGTCTGGAGGCGAGCTGGGCGCGGCACAAGCAGTGTGCGGAGATGTTGCACGAAGGCGTGGAGAAACTGGGCTTGGAGCTGTTGGTGAAGGACAAGGTCAGAAACACAAGCAAACATACAACTCCACTTGAATTTGATGTTTCAGGGTTAAATTGATTGTTACTGACCATTTAATACTCGGGGCCCCGTTCCACAAAGCGATCATAACGCTAAGACGATCATGTCCCATACTTTAACATAGACATTGACAGTCGTAGTGCTAAGACGATCATGTCCCATACTTTAACATAGACATTTGACAGTCGTAGTGCTAAGACGTTCGTAACTCCCATACTTTAACATAGACATTTGACAGTCGTAGTGCTAAGACGATCGTAACTCCCATACTTTAACATAGACAATGACATGTGACAGTCGTAGTGCTAAAACGATCGTAACTCCCATACTTTAACATAGACATGTGACAGTCATAGTGCTAAGACGATCGTAACTCCCATACTTCAACATAGACATGTGACAGTCGTAGTGCTAAGATGATCGTAACTCCCATACTTTAACATAGACATTTGAGAGTCGTAGTGCTAAGACGATCGTAACTCCCATACTTCAACATAGACATGTGACAGTCGTAGTGCTAAGACGATCGTAACTCCCATACTTCAACATAGACATGTGACAGTCGTAGTGATAAGATGATCGTAACTCAAATACTTTAACATAGACATGTGACAGTCGTAGTGATAAGACGATCGTAACTCCAATACTTTAACATAGACTTACAACAGTCATAGTGTTACGATCACTTCGTGGAATGGAGCCCTTGGGGAATGACCTCCCATTAGTTAGACATCATGGTTGAGTGAACAGCTACTCAACTGACTGTTACCTCAGGATGATAATGGGATAATCCAGTTTATATTAAAGCGAAGACCGGGTTAAAGATTATGTTTTTTATTTTGATGCTAAGGACCTTTTCCATGAAGGATTCTATGCTGCCTTAGTTCATATGGTTACAAAGTGTACTTTCCTCTGCCAGAATGTCCGCAACCCCTGTGTGAATGCCATCAAGGTGCCCGACGGAGTCAACTGGAAAGATGTGGCAGACTACGCCATGAAGAAGTGAGTATTATACTGGGCACCGGTTATCCAAGACGCAAGAACTGGCTCCCAGCAACCCATGCTTGTCGTAAGAGGCGACTATATGCAGTGTTTGGTTTGAAATGTACAATATTGCCAGGATGCCATCAGGACCCACAGACTTTAGAAGCTGCAGACCCTGACTAAACCCTTCAGTCCCTCATTTAAAAAACTGCAGCTTATAGTGACAAATAAATTGACACGTAAATTTACGGCTGGCCATAAGGACCCATACAACTTTGAAACTACGGCCCGACATGAAATCCTCTTGCCACGGGCCTTCATGCAGACGCTTGATCCTGGCCCAGTCAAAGGATGCAGCTCGGAGATGCAAGGAGTAGCTGGGGTTTCAGGGCATTGCAGGGCCTTGGTCTAAGTGGGTGGGTTTCACAGTGATATTACTGGAGACAAATAGCATACGGACATTTTCATGACATTTCTTAACTTCTGTTTCAAACACTGCCTATATGGATGGACTAAGTGGACAGGCTTGTGACTTGGTTGATTGTGTGCCATCGTACCTCTTCAGCATGAATCGTTGCTCATGATATCAACCACTGGTTTGTCTGGTTCGATCAATTAAAGGCAACAGGAACAGGAATATTGCTGAGAGTGTCATTAAATGAAAAAAAAATTAACAAAAATTTGCAGCAACCAGTAATATTTTGAACTATCATCTTAAATAATTAAGTTAATTTGAAATGCTTATCCTAAGTTGATAAGCCATCATTAGTTTCTTCTTCAAACCATGGATCAGGTCTTATTCCCCTGTTACCAAGTGGAGAAGATCAGTTTATAAATATATGTTGTCCTTCAAACCATGAGGGAGTGAGTGGCATATCAGCTTAATGTGGGAGGAAAGCCCGAAGTGATGCAGGTCTCGGACATTTACCACTTTAGTGAAACTCACGAGCACGGGTATGGTGCTGACAAACAAAGAAACATTATCGGGGTGAAACAGGATTTCGAACCCACAATCTTATAACTCATGTCTTGTTCTTCAGTTACCGAGTGGAGATCTCCGGGGGTCTTGGGAGTCTGGCGGGGAAAGTGTGGCGAGTTGGCGTGATGGGGTACAACTGTACCCCCGACAACGTCCGTCTCGTCCTGCGCGCCCTGGAGGAGGCCCTGAAGCAATGCAGGAAGTAACGTAGTCACAACGCGATACATGCATTTCATCCACAGAGGGAAACAGAAACAAATATTTGGGAGAAGTGCACTTTCCTGATTGCGTTTTTGTGTGTTTCATTTCGTACTGCGTCCTTATCCTGAGATATACCAATCACCATTTGATAGGGACATTTCTGTCTGTCAATAAATAACAGAAGTGTCCTTAGCAAATGTTGTGTTGTATAGTACAGCTAACAGGGTCATTGCACTGTAGGTCATGAGAGATATTCTGTATGCAGAAATGTACCCCTTGTACCATTCTGTATGCAGAAATGTCCCTTAGTGTCATCCTGTTTGCAGAAATGTACCCCTTGTACCATTCTATGTGCAGAAATGTCCCTGAGAGGCATTCTGTATGCCAAAATGTACCTCAAGTACTATTCTGTATGCCAAAATGTACCTCAAGTACTATTCTGTATGCAGAAATGTACCTCAAGTACCATTCTGTATGCAGAAATGTACCTCAAGTACCATTCTGTATGCAGAAATGTACCCCAAGTACTATTCTGTATGCAGAAATGTACCTCAAGTACCATTCTGTATGCAGAAATGTACCTCAAGTACTATTCTGTATGCAGAAATGTACCTCAAGTACTATTCTGTATGCAGAAATGTACCCCAAGTACTATTCTGTATGCAGAAATGTACCCCAAGTACCATTCTGTATGCAGAAATGTACCTCAAGTACCATTCTGTATGCAGAAATGTACCTCAAGTACCATTCTGTATGCTGAAATGTACCTCAAGTACCATTCTGTATGCAGACATTACCCTGGCTGACAGCTGCATGCCTCTAAGACATGGCGCACTGTTACATGGAACCGTTACATGGAACCGTTACATGGCACTGTTACATGGAACCAGAGTCACATTTCTGTTCACATTTCTGAGACACCTCCAGTTCACGTAGGAGGTCTAGGGGTGAAGATTGTGAACATGGAAACTTGTGAAATTCGCAAACACAACCAACTCATAGATAGTTCAGTGAGTGCAAGGTGTCAAGATTGTAAATGTAAGCAGGATCAGTGAAAGTGTCACAGAGTGAGACGTCAATGTAGCTGCCCATAGGAATCTGCTCTCTTGCCTCTTCGTTTTGTCCACAGGGTATATACACACAGGTGCTGCGTCACAACTGAGTAGAAAGTATTAATTTCCTGTGTTATGTCATAATTGTCATAATCAGTTATATGCATCATATTTTTTTTGCATTATTTTCTTTTGATTGTTTGGGAACACTAGTGTTCATGAAAATGGGTGTAGATATTTTGAGTAAGGGAGACAGCTCTAGTCGACTTCTTGATGATGTGGTATCTTTTTTGTTTACAAACTGACACATTTGTGTTTGTAGCTCGATGAGAAGGATTGACGTACACTTCATGAGTCAGCTATGTAAAATGTCCGTGAAACTGTAACTGAATATTAAACAAATTCAATAGTCAGCCTTTTTGACATTTTAGCCAAATACCTGTGTTTACCAAATCTGATGTTTAGCAATATTGTCACATGGCCAAGAGACCTTCTACACAGAGCAATCTAAAACAGTATAATGTCTTTTGATCGATCTCATTAAAATCAGATCTTGGTGCATCTCCATGTTGTGCTGCTAACATGAGTTGGTGGGTACAATGTTGACAGAATACGGAGTATGTGTCCAGCCATCTGCTACCAACACCCAACAATGTTCCGCCATTGTCACATTGTTTTTTCATTCATTAATACTATATTTGGAATTTAAAGTATTGTTTGTTTGTTTTTTTACCACCCACACGGAAACTTTTTGTCAAAACCTTTGGTGAAGCAATTAATATGAATCATAACCTATTCTATAAATATTTGCTCAATGAAAAGGTCAACATAACCAAACCAGCTTGTGATGATAGACCGACCACATCATATCTTGGGAAGGGGATGTGGAGGCCTGGGATTTTGTAGAACCAAAAATACATTGTCCCTGAACAATCTGGAAAAAAATAATTATGGCCTGCCTGCCACAAAAATGACATTGTTGCAAGGTGTATTTTCTTTAAAAATCTTCAGGCTCATAGTTTTAAATAAATCTGGTTATGCAGCCAAAGCTGAAAAAGTACCTGATCTCCATACAAAATCCCAGCCCCCCCCCCCCCTTTCCAAAAATGAAAGAATACCAATTGGTCAGTCCCTAAAGTAGAAATGCTCAAGAAGCAGGGGTATGGAAGGAGTTTAAAAGAAAAAGGTTGTAGTTCATATAGATTTATGGCTTTGGTAACATATGGTGACATGGGTGTGTTTCATTGGATTTAACAATGAACTGACAGAGGATCATGTTTAGCTGTATGGCTTCATTTTTGCGTTCTGTAAGACACTGTAAATTCAGGTATTTGACCAAGGGCAGGTAACTCTAACCTGTTACCCCCCCAAAAAGTGTACATGTGCCTGTGTCTGTGGAGGTTGTGTGTGTGTTAAGATTATAGGGCCTTTGGGGCTTGTCCTAAGAGGCGACTAATACGATCGTGTGGTCACTCGCTGACTTGGTTGATGCATGTCATCGATCCCAATTACGTGGATCGATGCTCATGATATCAATCACTGGATTGTCTGGTCCAGACTCGATTATTTACAGACCGCGTCAAACCAACCAACCAACCAACTTCGGGGCTGGTCCAGTGGTTGCTTCCCTTTGGCCAAACCAAAGACCAGAAACAAGATACTTTTTTGTAGTCCTAACCTATTGTTCGGGTGATTTTGGTGTAAACGAAGGGCTATTGAGAAACTTCCACATGTTCAGTACCTATACATGGATTCAATGTACAAAACCCAGGTGTCCCCGCTGTGAAATGGCTAGAACAATCACATTGGCATTAAAGCTTACTCCGTCACTCACTTATACAAATCCATTCAATGGGTACATAGCTGCCAGCTTACTGATGCTAACTGTGGTTACCTGGAGAGTACAATGTGTGCTTGTTGAATGCTGGGATCATGTGACCTATTTATACAATTACTGTTATTTGGAATATATTTTGCAGGTGCTTTAATGTCTGTGTATTTAGATGTTGTTGATTCATATGATTGGTTATATGAGCTATATTGAATATAATGTTATTTTTACAATAAATGATGATTATAGTGGCATGCTAATTGTTGTTTTTTCAAGTGAAGTTAAAACTGAGAATTTGTTGAAAGGCAAAACTACTTTTCAAGGAGTATGGCAGTTTATTTTATTGTATTCTATGTTTATCTGTAAATATTAAATAGCTACGTGATAAATTGCAAAAAACAATAAAGAGCAAAGCATTGTTTATTTCACGGTAAAACATTGTTCTATCATGACATCATTTCTGGAGATTCAAACATGGGCTCAGAACTTGATGACGTCATAAATCCGATGATATTATTTTTTAGAGGGAAGTGTCTAGCGAATTGTTCTCCATATATGTAGCTGGGCAACGCAGATAAACGTGATGGCCAAAGGATCGCATCCAAAATCGGGAGAGATTTGACAATCGGTATTGGGAGAAAAGGTACAGGTAATTGACAGCAGGATCGTGAGAATATGCGGGTAATACCCACCTGGGCATAAAATGGGCTTGCCCAACATTTCTAAGGTTAGCTGCCTCTTGGGACAAGCATGGGTTTTTGAAGACCAATTCGGGGTTAAAAGACTGTGGTGGTCCTCACCTGCCTTTGAGCTAGTAGGGACGCTTCTCAACATCATCACAACATCATCACAACATCATTCCAACATCACACAACCGTCCTGGCTGCAAAGATGCAGGAGTGACACCACAAGCAGGATCCAAGTGTCTACAAGAATGGCTCCGTTGACAGAGAGTAGAAGGTCGGTGGTTCGATCCCGACTCATCCTACCAAAAGACGTTAAAAGACGGTTATTGTTACCCAGACTGGCGGCTCGGCATTGAGGGCATAAAACAAGAACTGGTCGGCTCCAGTTGGTATATGTCCGAGTTGGGTATACATGTAAAACTGCGGCATGGTATTGCATGCATATAATTACCGTATTCGACATAATAAGCGCCCAGAGCTCTCTCAAAATTAGAAATAGGGGGCTCTTATTAGAATATTATTTTGGTGGAAAAACAACAGCCTGAAATGTTTATATACGACAGATATATTTTTCCAGAATTTAATTTCCCATAATTAAGGATGCATATAACACACGTATTATACACGAATAAATAAGTTGTGAACATTGATCAATCGGAAGGGTGCTAATTGGGATTGTTCACTAGCCAATATGTTAGCAAATATCGCCGTGGGCGCTTAGAGCGGGCCGCTTATTACGTCGAATACGGTATGTTAAAATAGCACGCACCTGTGAAGATTCCGGGAAAGAATAAGTCCTGGTGAGTATACCTGCTGCTGAAGAGTCGGCTCCCAGTGGGGTCAGGTTGTCCGGCTCAATGTCTCTTGATTGATTCTGTGCTATTTTGGTCCAACGGAGCGGGGACCCGTGAAGATCCGGGGTAGAATAGATCTTCAGCAACTCATGCTTGCCGTAAAAGGCGACTATGCTTGTCGTAAAAGGCGACTAACGGGATCGGGTGGTCAGGCTCGCTGACTTGGTTGATGCATGTCATCGATCCCAAATGCATGGATCGATGCTCATGATATTAATCACTGGATTGTCTGGTCCAGACTCGATTATTTACAGACCGCCGTTATATAGCTGGAATATTGCTGAGTGCGGCGTTAAACAACAAACCAACCAACCAACCAACGGAGCGGGAAGTTCACCCGTTATGTATCAACCTCTGGTTTCAATATGGCTGCCGTATTGGGGACTATCAAATCATGCATTTTGTTGCTTTGACATAAATTGTAGCCGTACAATCCCAATAGTTAGGATTCTTGTGTGTGGAATATTTGCTTCGGTTAGACAAGGGATGACAGGGTGGCCGAGCGGCTAAGGTGTTCTTTGGTCACGCCAAACTTCCGGGTTTGATTTCAAACAATAAGTAAAGACCGTCGTGAAATTGTCCTCATAAATAAAGTGACGTTAAACCCTTCACATTCGGCGAATAATATGTTCTTTTAAGACCTGTCGGACTCCTTACACAGTTACCCATGCTTTTATAGCTTTTTTGTTTGTTGTTTAAAGCCGCAGCAATATTCCAGCTATATGACGGCGGTCTGTAAATAAATCGAGTCTGGACCAGACAATCCAGTGATTGACATCATGAGCATCGATCCACGCAATTGGGATACAATGACATGCACCACCCAAGTCAGCGAGCCTGACCACCCGATCCGGTTAGTCTCCTTTCACAAGCATAGTTGCCTAGTAAGGCAAGCATGGGTTGCTGAATATCTATTCTATTTGGTTCTGCATGGGTAAGATGTGAGGTGAGGTGAAATTGGGTTTAACGTCGCGTCCAAGATTATTGCACTTATATAGAGACGTACATGCACGTGTGCACATGTGTCTGCTTGTACTAGTCCGGACTGATACCGATTTATAGTGCTACCTCACTGAGATAATATGCCGGCGTTTAACATTAATACCCCACTCAGACACAGTATACTGACTCCGAGCCAACCAGTCCTTGTTTTAGCCCCTTAATGCCGAGCGCCAGACAGGGTAACAACAAGTACCATATTTTAACGTCTTTAGGTATGACGCGGTCGAGGTTCGAACCCCGGGCCTTCCGCACTTCGGGCGGACGCTCTACCACTAGACCACGGAGGCGGTCGCATGGGTAAGAGGATATTTGTCTTTAACTGTGAAATAACATCTATCTCTTCAAGAGACATGACATACATCTTCATGAGGTGCAGCTTCAGTGAAAAGTTCAAAGCATGGGTTGCTGAAGACCTATTCTAACCCCGGATCTTCACGAGTCTGTATAACTTGTGATGACACTGATGGCGCTACTATATACATTACACTATATGAGAGTTAGTATGGTTTAACGCCGCTTTTGGCAATATTCAAGCAATATCACGGCAGGGGACACCAGAAATGGGCTTCACACACAGTACCCACGTCGGGAAACGAACCCGGGTCTTCAGCGTGACGAGCGAACGCTTTAACCACTAGGCTACCCCGCCGCCACTACTCTATAAGACAGTTCATGTTGTGCTTCTGTGGCAAACTATGTCGTATTTATCTCAAGACTTGTGGAAGCCACGAAAACCCCATCCACGCAAACACTCGGATGAAGTGAATCGTGCTACCGGTCATATCCTCTGCAGAGGGTTGATGGAACCAGCGTCTATTCAATGCAGGCGTGTCTTCAAGGATTTACGGTACTTGCATTTCCACTAATGGTCTTCGTCTATACAGGTTTGGGGGGCGGTGTTGTAGCCTAGTGGTTAAACGTCGAAGACATGGTTTCCATTCCCCACATGGGTACAATGTGTGAATATTGCCATCAAAAGTAAACGATTGGAGTAGTTCTTAAGTTTACGAGAATTTAATGAAGGAAGCGCCCATAAACTCATAACGCCCCTTCACACCAGAAATATGACAAATCACTCTGTGTTGAATAGGCCTACCTTCAATCGGCGGAAGTATATGATATCGCCAACTAGTCATAGGTATTCCGTCAGACAATGAAATAATATATCTGCCCCCAAAAATATGAAATTCTTCCTCAGTATTAAATTGTTTTGTTCATATATATATATATATATATATATATATATATATATATATATATATCATCCAAAACTGGCTCCAACAGGAGATATCGCTTGGATGAGATCAAGCGATATCTACACTGTAGATGTCGCTGCAATGAAATTACTTCACGAGCTTTGCAGACTATTGTGACGTCACTGGTTACCATGACGTCACAATCAAATGACATCACTAATGGCTCTGCTACTGAAGCTGTTTGCAGTACTTTTTACTCTGAAGACACTGCTAATTACTGTCTACAAATTGAAAAAGTTGAAAGAATGATGTTGGATGGTAAATAATATCTCACCCTCTTGTCTTTTGATATCAAATATATCAACACTCGGCAAGCCTCGGAATGTTTCCACTTTTATCAACTCTTGTTGATATATTTGATATCAAAAGACACTCGGGTGAGATTCTCTATTTATCATCCAAAACTGGCTCCCTTAGGAGATATCGCTTGGATGAGATCAAGCGATATCTACACTGTAGATATCGCTGCAATGAAATTACATCACAATGCTTTGTAGACCATTGTGACGTCACTGGTTACCATGACGTCACAATCAAATGACATCACTAATGGCTCTGCTACTGAAGCTGTTTGCAGTACTTTCTACACTGAAGACACTGCTAATTACTGTCTACAAATTGAAACAGTTGAAAGAATGATTTTGGATGATAAATAAAATCTCACCCTCGTGTCTTTTGATATCAAATATATCAACACTCGTTGATAAAAGTGGCAAAAATCCTCGGCAAGCCTCGGAATTTTTCCACTTTTATCAACTCGTGTTGATATATTTGATATCAAAAGACACTCGGGTGAGATTCTCTATTTATTACTTGCCCGTGAAGAGATCACCCGTTTAATAAACATACAGCTGTATTACACATTGTGTAATACCAAAACGCGTGCTTATGTACTCTCGGAACACGTTTCACGAACAAATATTGAAAACTCTCAACACCCCTTGGCTAATTCAACGACATTGCGTGTGGAGTTGATAGATCACTGAAAGGAGCTTATGCACAATCGATGACCCCAGCAACCTTGTTGCTAGGCTGACGTCACATGGCATTGTTTCGCCGATGGATCTTGCAACAAAATTCCACAAATTGCGTCATCGGGTATTGTGACGTTATTGTAAACTTTGAGGTGCAAGGCCCGTTCCACAAGGCGACTCTATGTAAGTCGCGATAGTCTTAGCCCTACGATGATTTTGTGAATTCTAAAGATGGACCGTTGTATGGTATTAAATCCATGTTTCAACTTTTGACGTGTTTGAAGTATTATTCTGTTAAACTTAATTGGACTATGCCGTGGATCGTGTAGGTGTCAGCCTATTCATACTCAACAGTATAATTCTTAAAACGTTATTAATGGCAAGTAATAAATAAAATACTAAACTCGCTCCCGTGTAAAACCAATTTTATGAAACTCGTGAATAGTTGTGGTATCTGACTCGCTTTCGCTCGTCAGAT